GACCCTCAGTCCAAAAAAAACCACGACATGGAAACATGACGATGACAAGAAAAAATGTCCTCCCAGTATTTGTTGAGAATTAAAACTGATAACATGATTAACCTTTATCACAATCTGTATTTACATACTCTAAGATAAGAAATGAGATTTAGCCAAGTACCCAAATTTGTCTGTGACCTGGAGTTCTATTTTTCATTTCATCATTGCCGTTAAAGTGAATCAAACTGAAGTGCGAAACAGAACATTCCTAAGCATTAAGTTGTTCAGAAAACATATCTTGTCTTTGGTGAGGGCTAATCTATCAGAGGATTAGACGCTGTTCCCACAAAACCGAGCATGCTATCCTGAAATTGTGTGGAGCACACTGGACTTTGTTATAAAGATGAATGCATTATGCTATTGAGATATACCTGAGGTGTCATCAAGTCAGTAGATGTTTTGCAAGTTAAAAAAAAAAAGCACAAAAAAACCCCATCATCTTGAAGACATAATGACGCAAAATTTCCCCGTGGAAATTAATACTCTTTCCAGAAGACACAGAAAATATTTTCAAAACAAACCAGTTCCTTTAACATTCTATTGAATGTGCAGTTTCCTGTTTGTGTTAAATGTTACTAAGAAAGTCTGCTTCTCACAGATTATTTTCTTGGTAATAGAGTTTTTACTTATTTTGATTTTACTGTTTTTTTCTTCTACTGAGATAGTACTTCAGTTTTATACATGATTTTCCAGATTTTAAAATAGCCTTCTAATAAAATCAAAATAAATTCAGAACAACTTCAGGGCACACTCATTAATTCAAAAATATTACCTGAGCAATGAGGAAGAGATCCGCTCCAGTGTCCGTTTAACTGACATGTACGAGACGACTGCCCTAACAGTGATCGTCTACCTGTGCAGGTATAATGAACAGTAGACCCAAAGGTATATTTATCTCCAGATAGGACCGCATTAGGAGGAATGCCAGGATGGCCACAGTCAATCACTACAATGCATAATTATTGGAGAAAAAAAAAGGTTATTATAACTGATCAAACAGTTTGTAGTTATCATTTTCCTAACTCCGTACATAAACTTTGTGAAGAGGCTGACCTTTTAGGGTTTGGAGGAGGGAGGCACGTAAGCACATTATGTGATTAGAAGTGTAAAATCTATTACAAACTAAAATCTGTGAAGCAAATGTTTGGACATGTCAAAAATGGATTTTAGATATAGATATTGATGTCCAAAGACACTCATTCACTAAGTCGATCTTTATGGCATAAACACACGCACACACTAATACACACACACTCATACATGTACTCATCAGAGAAAAAACACAGGAAAACAGTATGTGACAAAGTCACTGCTGAGGTAAACAATATGCAGACCTTCATCTCTCATCCACTGGTCCCAAATCGTTGGTTCTGAAGTCTATTAGGTTTATAAACAAGATAATTTTGCTACATTTTGCTACTTTTTTGCTACATTTTGCAAAATAATGAATGAATAATATATTAAAGCTAATATATTAATTTCATATTCATGGGTTTTGTTACTTAAAATACTGTACGGCATAAATAAAATATTTGTTTACATATTTTAGCATATTCCTAGGCATCATTCATTGATGTTAACTGCACAGAGATTGGAGGGAATTTCTATAGGATCCCAATCTTAGAAATGGTCATAGATAAACTCCCTATCAGTTGTTTATTGAGTAAATGTTGATCAATAATTGTTAGTTTTTTCCATACTGTGATTAATTTTTAGTACTCTTAATCTTGACACTTTCGTGATTTCACTTGCAGATTCCACATATAGATATCCAACAATTAGCTTGTACACATCTAATTTTGCTAACTGGCTCAAATGTCATGAAGTGCATAAACTCAGGAAAGAAAATAAGAAAATTGAGCATAGCATCTTTTGTCCTTTATTTGCTTCTTATATAGAAAATTATGACTCTTGCTATAAATGATGAAAAGCAGTCATTTTTTTCCAGGAATAAAAAACAGGCTAAATGATAGAAACTGAATCTAAAATCATGATAAGATCACCGAAATTATTTCAGCAGCATTGTATCTACTGGAAAGTTGTATCAAGCAACAGTGAAGCTTCCTTGTCTAGATCAAGACCCCACCTGGAATACTGTGTTCAGCTCTGGAGTACCCAACACAAGAAGAACATGGACCTGCTGGAGTGGGTTCAGAGTAGGGCCACGAAGATGATCAGAGAGCTGGAACACCTCTGCTATGAAGACAGGCTGAGAGAGTTGGGGCTGTTCAGCCTGGAGAAAAGATGGCTCCGGGTTGATCATATTGCAGCCTTCCAGTACTTAAAGGGGGCCTACAGGAAAGCTGGAGAGGGACTTTTTACAAGGACGTGTAGTGATAGGACAAGGGGCAATGGATTTAAACTGAAAGAGGGGAGATTTAGATTGGATATAAGGAAGACATTTTTCACTCAGAGGGTGGTGAGGCACTGGAACAGGTTGCCCAGAGAAGTTGTAGATGCCCCATCCCTGGAAGTGTTCAAGGCCAGGTTGGATGAGGCTTTGAGCAACCTGGTGTAGTGGAGGGTTTCCCTGCCCATGGCAGGGGGGTTGTAACTAGATGATCTTTGAGGTCCCTTCCAACCCTAACCATTCTATGATTCTATGATTCTATCAACAGGAAGCTAACTACTCCATAAGACTAAAGTAGAATGACAAAAGGTCTTATGCATCATTACAGTGAACATTATTTACATGGATAATGTGTGTAATGGAAACGAAGTTCTATATTGAAAAGAAATAGCCAGTCTGTCTTTTAAGGTTAAGAGCATATATCCAAAATGTACAAAAGAAACCCTCTTGCATGTCAAATTAATATAGATAAAGCTTTCAAAAATTCAGAGCAAGGAGTTAATTTAAAAGCAAGCTAAGTGTGTCAAGTTCAGGAAATGCAGAGTTAAAATTCATAAACCAAAATACATTCTGTGAACAGAATGAAACTAGCCTTGCATGTTTGATTTATGTTACACCTGTGGCAGATCTTGGCCAAAGATACTTGTATTTATGCCTCATAAAACCCACAAATTACAGCTGCAAATACCAGGGTACAAGAACAGTTCCCTAAGTCATAGAAATGCAGT